ACGATCCTGTATTCCCTAACAGAGTAGTGTATCCAAAAAGCAGCACTCACTTGGGCTACTTCGGTACTCCATTTGCACCTAGCCAGCACACACAACCGAGAACAGGCACCAGGGAAGAAATGCAAGGGCCGCATCTGGCTGGCAGCCACCCAGTCCTCACCCTCCCTCTCCTAAAGGGACTCGGAGTTTCTGTTTGGGGAGCTTCGGGGACAGCTTCCTTCACAGTCCCGCGAGAGGTGGAACACGTGGTTTAGTGCTCATCTCTTCGGCATGGCCCCAAACGGTAGTTCCGACACTGGTTCAGATGAAGCATGTGGCTCATTTCTGGCCAAGAGCCAGAAGAAGTCATCTGCTGCCAGCTCCGGGAAAAGCAGCTCCCGGGCTCTTGGCGGCGTCGGCGAGCGACCTGAAGACACACGCTGCGGACGCACGGAAACCAGCCGGAAAACACAGCGCATGCGCGCGCACGGGCACACACGCGGTGTGGACAGCTGAGAGCTGGGCGGACGAACCAAGTCCGCCCCACGCTCAGCCTTCCGAGCCTGAGAGACGACCCAGGCCCACGAAGCCTGGTCATTTCTGCTTCATCCACAACCCAAACACCCTTTTACAGAAAAGCTGCACATATGAAAATGATTGTCGGGACGCCTGGGTGGCTTCGCTCAGTCGGTTAAGGGGGCGACTTGGTTACGGCTCCGGTCATGATCTCGTGATTTGTGGGTTCAAGCCCCGCATGTGGCTCTGCGCTGGCAGTGCAATGCGGAAGCTGCTTGGAAATTCTCTCTATGACCCTCCCCTGCACACACCTTCTCAAAATAAACTTAAAAAATAAAAAAAAAAGATTGTCTTCTACAAAAATTGACAGAATCCACAAACGATATTCCTGACTTGAGGCCACTGCTCCTTATAATATTAACAGTAAAACTTAAGACTTATAGAATTGTAGTCCAGACTATGGTGTTCAGAACAAAGCTTCAAAGTTCAGTAACGGGGTTTTGTTTTGTTTTTGTTTTTGTTTTTACAAGTGAGTGACAAGCCAACTCCGGAAAGTCAAATTCTGAGATGACATTCCACTATTAGTTTCCAGGTAGATTACGCCTTCTCTGACCATCGGTTTATACACCAACCGCTCACCACTGGGCTCCCAAATTTTCAGTATATTCTGCTCATCCTCACTCCACATATGGGTCTAAGACGGCTACATGGAGATGAGACAGCATATTATAAAAAGGATTTGGCATCAAGACATCTCAAAAATGAGGACTTAAAGGGCATCGTGCTATTTTTCTCACCTGCCAATCCAACTTACATTTAGTCCTTTTAGGGAAAGACGAAAAAGGAAAAGCATACCCCACAAACCTTTTTTCAACCAAGAAAAAACAAAGACATGTGACGCCTGGATGGCTCTGTCAGTTAAGCGTCCAACTTAGGCCCAGGTCATGATCTCACAGTTTATGAACTCAAGCCCCATGTCAGGCTCTGTGCTGATGGCTCAAAGCCTGGAGCCTGCTTCAGATTCTGTCTTCAGATTCTGTGTCTTCCTCTCTCTCTGCCTCTCCCTTGCTCTATCTCTGTCTCTCAAAAATAAATAAAAACATTAAAAGAAAATTAAAAAAAAAAAAAAAGAATAAAGTAACAGGGGGGCCTAGGTGGCTCAGCTGGTTAGGCACCCGACTCTTGATTTCAGCTCAAGTCATGATCCTGCAGTTCGTGGGCTCAAGCCTCACTTTGTGCTGACAGCACTGAGCCTGCTTCGGATTCTCTTTCTCTGCCCCTCCTCCACTCACTCTCTCTCAAACATAAACATTAAAAAAATAAATAAATATAAGACAGCTAGGGAAATGCTGAGAAGTGGCCCTGAGGGATGAGATCAAGTACTGGCTCAAGGGCTCTGCTGAGGAGCTAAGGCACTGGCACCCCCTTTAGACTCACCACTGAGGCTTGATCAGCCTTAGTCCAGCTTCTCTTCTGAGCAAAGATTCCCCCCACCCCGAAAGCAAAAGGAAGTTAGCCTAAGGAGAGCAGTACTTTCCTACTGAGGAGTCAGGAAATAGATTACAACTGGCACCCAGGAAAATGCAGGATGAGGGGGAGGGTTTGAGAAGGAAACCACTAGGTGTGGTCTAGTTATTTCCCAGGTAAGCATGAACCTGGACTAGATCAAAAGAACAATAACTTTTCACTCCCCTCTTCAGTTGCAGATAACAAAGACTGCACTAGGCCAGGAACAGAACCTGACTGAAAAGTAAACAAACATTGTCCTCTTTGGATTTACCAAGTCAAGGCAGAGATGAGAACCTGACAATCAAGATTTCTTCTTCCCCTTCCCAAAAGAGGGTATCAAAGTCTGGCCCTACTAAGCACAGTAAAAGGAACCACACACTCCATTTTGCTGAATTCTGTCCACACTGAGGGACAACTCACTCTCCTGTAAACCCTTTGAGCCAAACCAGTAACTTAACACTTGATTTTCAAAAGCCCACAAGCAATCAAATGGTCTTCAGTTAAGCTTTACCTCCATTCTGAACCTCCAATGAACTTTCTGAACTTCCTTTTAGGAGTTATCCAGAACCTGGTAAAAGTGCCAACCTCTCTCTCCCCAGGCTGCAAAAGGAACCATTTTTAGCTCGCCAGAGAAGTGTTTAATCGTATAAAATACTGAAGCACTGTCCACTTAAAGATATCCTCCAAATCTTCTCCCTTGTAAATTACACATAAACGGTCAGTCAGACCTGGGAACCACGATTTCCATATACCAGGACTCCGTACTGCCTGCACCGGTGACACTACCTCGCTAACTGCACCAGTTCTATTTAAGGTACCTAATTACTCCTACAGCTGCATTCCTGGTCCCCAAAGATTTCACCCTGAAAAAAAAAAAGTGAGGCTCTGCGAGGCTCTGCAGAGCAGTGATCCTCTCTCCATGAATCAGTTCAGACTATGTTGCTACATTACCAAATCCCACAAACCACAACTTACCTTTTCTAACAGGTAAAGAAGAATAGATTTACTTATACGATAACAGGACATAAAATGAGTTCTAACAATCTAATATTTACGATAACCCAAGAACATCACGATTTCCAATTAAAAAAAAAAACGAAGGTCTCTCATTAAATCTTCTCAAAAGAGTCAACTGATACACTATAAAAAGTAATTTCAAATCCAATAATCAAATTAGGGAGAATTTCAGAGTGCAGCTTCTGAAACCATCTTCTTACCTGAAGCAGTACACAAAACTGCCAACTTTAATTCTAAAGAGATACATCAAAAAAACACACTGAGCACCAAAAACTGAACAGAAAATCTATGAACATCCATATTGTTGCATGGCCTAGGCAAAGAGCCTGGCATACAGAAGCACCAAAAACGGGGCCAATCCCCACCCTGAAGCAAAAAGCAACTCCAACAAATGGTAAACTGTAGTGCCTCACAAACAAAATGCAACTCTGCCAAAAAAAAGGGGGAGGAGGGGCAGAATTAACACCTTCAACAAGAACTCAACAGATGAATCTCAGAAACATGGGAAGGGATGAAGCCAGACACAAAGTGCATACCATTGGGCTCTATTCACGCCTCATAACCTTATGGAAACAGAAACTATATACTACATATGGCAATCAGATCAGTGGTGCCATGGGCTTGGGTTGGAGGTAGATGCTCTCTTAACGTATGTTGATCAAATTCAGCTGTAGGATTCTTAAAAGAGTGACTACACAGTATCCAAGAAAGTTTTTAAAACAGGTATTAGGGATCTCAAAATTCTCTGGATGAAACCAAGAGCCATTCCAACAATGCTTAATACCCTCAAGCACTGATGGATGTTAGAGTAATTCACTCAAAAGTCAAAATTTAAGGAACTCACCTATATAAAACCAAAGTTGACCGCGGGGACACCATTTAATTGTGTTTCCCTTTTCTCACAAGCCTAGACTGAGTTCCTCCTTCCCTAAAATTACCACTCTGTGAACCAGTTTGTTTTCAAGTTTTGTCCCAAAACACTGCAAATTCCACCCATGAAATCTCACAGTAAGGGCCGTTTTTCCCACAGAATGCCGCCACCATTTGCACACTCTTCTGCAAAACTAAGAACCTGATAAATCACTCCGCAGCCTGTGCTTCAACTTGTTCTGAGAATTCTGAAGTGCACAAAACCTGTTACTGTTGTAATTAGCTTCTGGAAGCTTGCAAACATTTGATTTAGTTACATTTTTCCTGAGATTAACATACTCAAATTCCTTCTCCATAGGAACCGTGCCCCCAGGAAACATCAAAACCAAATTTCCAGACTTTCAGCATCAGTTAAGACGCAAAACCTAACGCCATGGTTACTGAGAGCACACAATGAGGAAGAACCTTTACTTACAGATCTTCAGGTCAGTGGGGAAGGAGGAGATTAACTCCAAAAATACACTGTCATAATGCACAAATCTACCAACACGAGCTCTGATAACACGCTACCTGCCAACAATATACAATCAGATACAGGACAGCTTTGAAAGCAATTATTTGAAATTGCCAGAGAAGAACTGCACGGTAACGTGCGCACAGCTTATTCCAATCAGCTGACTTGCAACGCACCTGAACGCTACCCAAGTACCCTGGTTTAAGCTGCCTAACTGTCCATCTTTGTCAGGAGAAAAGACTCTCACACCATCGGCTCTACTTCCCTGGGTGCCTCCAGGCCAGCACTAGTGACACTCGGGAGGGGGCCGGGGAGCGCGTCTCCCGCAGGGCAGGCGGATACTCAGCAGCCCCCTCTCGGCAGGACATTCACAAATGCCTCCAGCGTGAAGACCGGGTCAAACGCCCCAGGAATGAACCTGCGGTCTCGCCAGCGCCCCCCCGCCCCAAGTCTCTACCCACCAAGTACTCCGGGCACTCAGCGGCTGGACTGGGCAGCAGGAAAGAGGGTGCCCAACACGCTCGCAACCAAGGACTCAAAGCCTGACGCAGGCTGCCCTTCCCCTTAGGCGGCAATGCAGCAAGGTTATCTTTACCTTTGTAGAGGTTGGTGACGGCGGTGGCTGCGTTTTGGAAGGGGACCCAGAGAGAAAGTCCTGGCTGCTGACACACTCGGTCTGAAAATGGGGGCGGAGGGGGGTGGAGGAGAAAAAAAAGAACACAATAGACACGGAGAGAAAGAGAGAGAGACACACAGAGAAAAAAAAAAAGAGATGTTATTTGGGCGTCAGTCACTCAGAACGGCCATATTAGGTTTCGCCATTTTGTACCAGGATTTCGGGATCCCACATTCGGTGCGAGGACGGCAGGCAGCGGGGCGGCGGCGGGGACGGGAACGAGCCGCGGGGCCCACAGGCGCAGCCCCCCGGGGCCGAGCCGCGGCCGCCGGAGGCGCCCCCTCCCAGTCCCCGCCCCGAGGCCGGCTCCGGGCACAATGGGCCGGCCCCGCCACCTCCCTTCGCCATTTTGTGAGCTGGAGCCCCTCCCCTGTCCTCCCGGCCGGGGGGCGCCGGCAGCCGGGCCCCGGGCGCCGGCGGGCCCCCGGCAACCCCCAACGGGGGCGCCCCCAGCGCCGGCCCCCGCTCGGCCGTGGCCCGCCCCCCGCGCCGCCATCTTGTGAGGAGGGGGCGGCGGGGCGGTGGCGCGGCGGCGGGGCCACGGCGGCCGCCCTCAGGGCTCTCAGCCGGCCGGCAGGCCCCGAGGCGGCGGCGGCGGCGGCGGCGGCGGCGACGGCGGGGCGGCGGCGACGGCAAGATGGCGGCCGCGGGCCTCACCTTTGTAGAGCTGGGCCACGGCGGTGGCCGAGTTCTGGAAGAGGTGCCACAGCTTCTGCTGCTTGTGCTCCGGCTGCGCGGCGGCCGCCGCCTCCTCCTGCAGCTCAGGGGGCAGCTGCTCGTCCTGCTCGGCCTCGGCCAGGCACTGCCGCTCCCACTTGGAGAACCAGTGCTCGGGCCCGTGCTCCTGGATCTCGGCCTCGCCCTCCTCCTTCCGCTCCTCCATCCTCCGCGGCCTCCCGCGGCCTCGCCGCCGCCGCCGCGTCCTCCTCAGGCGGGGCCCCCGCGGGAGCGTCGTCGTCGAGCGGCCCGGCGGTGGGGCCCAGCGGCCGGCGGCGGCTCCTCGCGGCGGCCCAGGCCTCCTGCACCCCGACGGCCTTCGAGCCCCGCCCCGCGGTCCCGCGCAGACCGGGACGACCCCCGCCCCGGACCTCCCCACCCTCGGGCCCCGCCGAAGGTCGCCGCGGCCCGGACGACTGCCGCGGCCCCTCGCGTCGCCGGCCGGAGCTCGTCTACCGCCCCCCCATGGGGCCGCGGCCCTCCTAGGGCCGCCGCCGCTGACCGCCTAGCCCTCCGCACAGCCCGGCCTACGCCGCCGAGCCCACCCCGAAGACTGAGGAACGTCGTCGTCGCCGCCGCCGTCGACGCCTCTGCGGCTGCTGGTCCCCGCCCTCCCCCGCCCACATGCTGACTGGGGAAGCACCGCCCACTCGGCTTCAGCTCTCCGGCCCGGTTGGGGCGCGCCCGCATCGAGGGCCCCCATTGGCCCGACCCGACAGGTTCCGCGTGCTGGCCTCTGAATACAGCTCTGTGATTGGTTCCCCGGCCTGTCTGCCTGACGTAACCAATGGGCGGGGGACAGGGAGTATATGACAGGGAGGATATATGGGGAGGGGGAGGAGCTTACAGTGGTTGCGTCCGAGCCAACCGAGGGATGGGGGAGGGAAGAGAAGCTAAAACGTACGCATGCGCACTCTCTTGCTCGCCGCTGAGCACCACCCCCCGCGGGGCGTCGAGGGGGGTCACGTGACTCGGCCTAGCGACCGCGCCCCGCGGGGGATTTTCAGGCGCTCCCCGGCCCCAGGGGACACGAAATTAAGTCGGGCCACCGCGCCTCGGGAGACGCTGAGGTGTCGGGGGTGGCAACCCTCCTGCTCCAGCCCCTTGGGCTTCCAAAGGGGAGGCGAAACGGGTAGAAAGAGAAGGAAACGCCCAACTTGTGTCCAAGTTGGCAGGGTGCTCCCCCATCTGTGTATTTCAGCGTTCCATTTCTCGCACGGGCAGTTTGGGCCTCCGAGGAAAAACTCGCAAGTGGCAAGGCCAGCGGGCCCCTCCAGCGTCTCCGGAGACGGCGTCCCGTGATGCGGCCGCCTGCCCGCCCGGGAGGCCGCCAGCGCCACGGAGCGCGGGACCGGGGGCGCAAGCCGCCCCGCACCTGTCCCGACAAGCACGCTGCGGGGCCGCGTGCGGCCGCTTGCGTCACGCGCCAGCCCCCGCCTCCCGTGGCCGGAACACGCGTGGCCTAGCCGAGTGGACGGGCCCGGCCTCCAGTTAACCCGCGCCGCCCCTGCCGCCTCTGGCACCCTAGCGGAAGCAGCCACGCAAACGGGCGATGACCGCACAGAGGCAAAAACGCCCCTCCCCCTCCCTCTCCACCCCCACCTTCCCCTCCGGCCCCCGCGGCGCTAGAGTCAGGGCTGGAGCCACCCAGGGCTGGAGAAGGCGGTCAGGCCACCAACCCCCACTAGCCGCCACCTCAGCCCCTGCAAAGCAAGTGGCTTTAAAGCCATCACTTCTGGACTAAAATCTGACCTCCCTTTGACCTCTGAGTCCCTGCAGGATCTGGGCCCGCCTCCTCTGTTTTCACCTCACCCCCTCCTCTGTTTGGCTCGAGCTGCCCAGGCACCCTGGCCTTCTTTCTGTTTCCCCAGGACACCAAGCTCTTTTCTGCGTCAGGGCCTTTGCTCTCACGGTACCCTCCCTCTGGACTCCTCCCGCCACCCCGCCCTCAGTCCTCAGGGCTCTGCTCAGCCGGTCTGTCACACCAGCCTTGTGAAAGTAGAGCCCTCGGTGGACGCTCCTATCGCCTCGCTTTATTGTTTCATACCCCGTATCACTACCTGATATAATCTATTGTTACAGGTCTCCCGTCTCCAAAAAATAACTTCGTCAAGGTCACAATCTTGGCAGTCTTCTTCGTGGCTCAATCTTAAAAAAGATAAGTAAGATTTAGGAAGGAAGGGGGTTAGAGGGCACCCCAAAAAGAACATGCCAGGCAAAAGTCTTACAGGGGAACCCCAAGTTCTTCAGGCAACCAGAGTGGGAGCAGCAGGCATGGGGGCCACTGAGTCCATCCAGGACCAGGCACACAGCAGTTGGCTGTTTTCAGTGTTTCAGCACTACAGGAACACATACTCAGGGTCCCCGTGCAATTCATCTTTGACATCTGTTAATTCCTTCTTTCCTATAGGTACCATGAGGTAGAATCCCCTGGTAAAAGCACTGTATTCGGTATTCACTGGTTCTATTATTATTATTATTAAAGTACTTCTTGTTTCAACTGAAGAGTTCCAATTGCACGGAACAGAAAGTAAGAAGTGAAAAGCCATTCCATGTACCTCATCTAGAATACTCCTCAGTCCTATACTCAAGAGCTAACATATAACCTTTGGAAATGGTGTCCTTGTGTATATGTGTATTTAACCATATACGTGTATGTTTCCCTTTAAGAAAAACATGTGATCATTCTATGAGTACTACCGCACACTTTTTACTCTTAACATAATTTGAACACCATTCCCTGTCAGTACATAGATTCTTTTTATTTTTTTTTTTACTTTTTTATTTTTCTAATTTTTTTTTAATGTTTTATTTATTTCTAGGAGAGAGAGAGACAGCGTGAGCAGGGGAGGGTCAGAGAGAGAGGGAGACACAGAATCTGAAGCAGGCTCCAGGCTCTGAGCTGGCAGTCAGCACAGAGCCCGACGCGGGGCTCGAACCCACGAACCTCGAGATCATGACCCAAGCGAAAGTTGGACGCTTAACCGACTAAGCCACCCAGGCGCCCCACATAGATTCTTTTTAAATATTGTGAAAGGGACTTCGGATTGCTCAGTTGGTTGATCAACCGACTCTTGACTTCGGCTCAGGCTCACGGTTCGTGGGATCAAGCCCCGTGTCAGGCGGTGCGCTATCATGGAGCCTGCTTTGGGACTCTCTTCCTCCCTTCTCTCAAAATAAATAAATAAACTTAAAAAAATAAAGATAAAATACTGTGAAATCTTTCACTGTATGGATTCAGTATTTAACAGATTCCCTATTGATGGTAATGTAGGTTGTGACCAATCTTTGGCAATTCTGAACAATGCTGTAATGAACACCCCGGTATAAATGTGCTGCCGTGAACATCCCTGCATGTATGTACATGTACGCATGTGCAGATGTGGGTCCTCAGAAATAGTATTTTGGAGTCAAAAGATATATGAATTAAATATTTTATAAGAGGCTTTGAAAATGGCTTCTGAGGGGCGCCTGGGTGGCTTAGTTGCTAAAGCGTCTGACTTCGGCTCTGGTCATGATCTCTCAGTTTGTAGGTTTGAGCCCCACATCTGGCTCTGTGCCGACAGCTCAGAGCCTGGAGCCTGCTTCGGATCCTGTGTCTCCCTCTCTCTCTGACCCTCCCATACGCTCTCTCTCTCTCTCTCAAAAATAAATAAACATTAAAAAAAAGAAAAGAAAATGCCCTTCTGAAAGGCAGAGCAGTTGACCTTGCCTCCCATAAGCACGTGTGATATTTTTCCACAATCTTATTAAATAAATAGTAAAATAACAAACAAAAACCTTTTGTGCATTTCGCTGTGCATTTCGCTGAACAAAGAAGTGACAAAAGGGTATCTCCTTATGGCTCTAGTTTGACGAGTCTAGTTTCCCAGGTTGTCATTGGCTTTTTATCTCGTGTATCCTTTTCCATTTTTCTTGCCTTGGAAATGTTTTTTAATAGTTCAATCTTTGAACTCATAACTCCTGAGTTTTGCGTCAGGCTTAGAAAGGCTCCACACTCCCAAGGATTTTTGTTCATGTGGTGGAATTAAAACTGCAATGGCCGCCATCTTTCTCCTCCTCTCCTGGCCCACCACACAGAAACGTCAAGAGAACGCATGATCCCCACAGCTTCTCATGATACATGACGCGTGGGTTCATCACAGCAGGCCATACACGCAGCCTCATAGATTAATTACTGCCAGGAAAGGTCAAAGTTAGACTCAAGGGCATGAGTCAAGAGACGAGAAAAGTCAAAAACCATTGTGAGCACAGAAGGCCAATAAAAATAAGATAAAATCAGACATCTTTTATTAAACATTTCACAGCATATGCATTTAAATAAAGGCAATACTTTTTGGGTTTTAATATGTTGCCTGCTCAAGTTTAGGACCAGTGTTGACATTAAGTACACCCTTGAGTTGGTTTCTGAATTTCACTTTGGCTACAAGACATGGCATTCAGTCCCCCGGGGGGTGAGCTGAGGGGGAATGCCATGAGGAGGATCTCCTTTTTATGGCCCAGCCTCAGAAGTCACGCAGCATATATGTGTATAGTCCCTTCGTCAGGAGCAAGCCACTAAGTCTGGGTCGCATTCAAGACCAGAGGGATTGGATCTACCCTTTGAAGGGAGGCATGCTGTGGAATTGGGGATATATTTATTTATTTATTTATTTATTATTTATTTTTATTTTTTAATGTTATTTTACTTTTTTGAGACAGAGAGAGACAGAGCTTGAGTGGGGGAGGGGCAGAGAGAGAGGGAATCACGGAATCTGAAGCAGGCTCCAAGCTCTGAGCGGACAGCACAGAGCCCGACACGGGGCTCGAACCCACTGAACGTGAGATCATGACCTGAGCCAAGGTCGGCTGCCCAACCGACCGAGCCCCCCAGGCACCCTGGGGATATATTTAAAAACACCACATCTAGATTGTACCCAGCTGTACTCAACTCCCTACTGAGGGTGAGATTCTTTGACTCTCTGTGGACTTCAAAGGTGGGGTGGCTTGTTGGAGTTGAAGGTGAAACCCCCCCTCACATTTCGGTCACCTTGCATGGGTGCAGCCACCTGCTGTTCTGGAAGGTTGGGGAAGGAGAATGGGAGAGATGCGTTCTGATCTGTTTTCTTGCCTTTCCTGTGACCAAATGTGGTCACAACTCACCTCACTTGGTAAATTATAGGGACGTGTTTCTCCCTAAACTCTTGTTTTCCATGGAAACACAGAAAACAGAGCTAAATTTTGAAAAAAGATTTTTGACAAAATTTGGAAGCCTTATATGCCCTCCTCCCCTTGCTATAAAATACAGCTTACCTTGGGCAAGTAAAAG